AAAAAAAAAAAAAAAAAAAAAAAAATCTTATTAAATAATCTATTTTTCTCTCCCAGACCTAATAAATTTAAAGTTTAAATCGTCAGTCTTACAGCTTCCCATTGTCTTCTATCTCTGTTGAAGCCCATATTTTAACTACAGACCACTGCATTAGCTGCCCCAGGGAGCTAATCAAAGTTTCATCTCAGGAGCTACTTGGGGTACACACACAGCTGAAGGTGAAGTTGTTAGTTCTAGCTCTGAAGTGACCCAGATCTTGAATTCCAAGGAAGAAACCTGGTATGGACTGTATTATGTATCCCCAAAACTCATATGTTGACAACCTAAACCCCAGTACCTCAGAATGTGATTGTATCTAAAGAGATGATTAAGAGGCAGGGAGATCGCAAGTTCAAGCCCAGCCTGTATCAAAAAATAAAAAATAAAAAGGGCTGTGCATGTAGCTCAATATGAAGGTCCTGGGTTCAACTGCCAGTTTGAAAAAGAAATAAGAGGTAATTAACTCAAAATGATGTCAGTGGGGTAGGTCTTAACTCAGTGTGATTCATGGGAAAAGGGTGTTATGCTACAGGATCAGAGGAAGACCAAGTGAAGACACAGGAAGAAGAAGACATCTTCAAACCCAGGAAGAAACTGGATCTCAGATGTTAAGCCTTCAGAATTGTTGTAGTCTACAGAATTATAAGAAAATAAATTTCTGTTGTTTAACCACCCAGTCTGTGGCACTTCATTATGGCAGCCCTAGCAAACTAATAAGAAACCTGTTTTCAGAGTCAAGAACACCAAAGTCTACCACATACTTGGTCACACAGACAAGAACTATGGAAAGGAGAAATAGCTTCTCCATGCCTAGACTCCAAGTACCGTTCAACCCAGCATAACCTGCAGAATGAAGCAAATGTACTACCCACTCCAGAGTCTTACCACATTTTCTGGCAGCTTGTGTCCAGGGAGATATTTTACGTTTTCATGGTCATTATTTATGATGTCTGTCAATTTTCGCCCATTGACTGTTTCTTCAAAGACCCACATCTTGACTGTGGAGGCAAACTTCTGCAGTTTCTTGACATTATTACCAATTATTTTTGCAACAGCTGAACCCCTACAAAAGAAACCATGGAATAGAAGAAAAATTAACCTCATTCTGGTCAAAGGAAAAAGGCATTTGATTAAAATTCAAAAGATCTGAGTTTTGATTCTGATTTAAGCACTCAGCTTGCTCAAGATGGGATCTTTGTCAAGCTCAAGCCACTTGCGACTTCCTTCTCACCAAGAAATATCACCCCTCTGGGGTCAAGAAATCCATAGAATTTGGCACGATGCTAAAAAGCACCACTCATTAGAACCAGGAAGAATCAAGCTATCTCAGAAGAGTGTCACAGTCAGAAGAGAAATTGACCTAGAAGTGTAAAAACGATTCTAGAGGGTTTTGAAATATCCAAGGAAACTAGGCTATATTTTACATTCATCAAACAGATTAAAATGCAGCCACTGTAAAACAAACTGTGTTCCGTTGAAGCATAAAAAGCCCAAGGCAGAATCATAATGGCAGACAAGAAAGGAGCAAAATCAGAGCCAAAGCTCAGGTCCAGAGCAGTCAAGCACCCCTCCTTGCTCCCAGTATCCCAGTGGCCTCTAGCCCCTCCCTTTCATCTGCATCTCTATTCAGCTAAAAAGTTCTGATAAGGGGCGATTTCTTCACAGCCACAGGGAAGAAAGTGAAACCTAACTAATTAGTGTGAGTCCTCAGATGGTTCCTTGCTGCAGGCAGAGGCGCAGCCGCCCCCTCATAAAAAACAATCCCAATGTTCTAACACCTGATGCCAGCTGAGCCAATCAGCTTTCATCTCTGGACCCTGAACTGAGAAATCCTTGTTTTTTACAAAACCTTCCTGGTGGTTGGGCATAGCGGTGCACACCTGTAATCCCAGCACTCTAGGAGGCTGAGGGAGGAGGATTTCAAGTTTGAGGTCAGTGTTGGCAATTTAGATTGTAACTGGGATAGCAAAATGGAGCTGTAAAAGTTGTATTTTTTTCTTTTTCCCCTTTGGAGACAAATGGTTTCCTCCAGGATGACCACTCACCCCTCCTCTCAGCCTAGATGATACGCAGGGGCTGCACATAGGCATTTGGGATTTAAAAGAGGTGAAACTAGCTTGATTAGGCCTACTTCTTGACTGTATTCCTTCTGCCATATTCCTTACTATAAAAGACACACCAGCACACAGGGAGATAGTGATTTGAGGCAAATGAAACCCCCATCTCTTCAGAGGCATCTTTGAATAAATCCTTATGCTCTTTGCCAAAATAAATATCCTCCTTTGATTTGGCCAGCAGCAAGCAAATAAACCTGACCATATGAATTTAAGTGGCCAGTTACAAGACCGTTTCAAAATAAAAAAAATTAAAAAGGGGTTGGGGACGTAGCTCAGCATGAAGGCCCTGAGTTTAATCCTCAATACTGCAAAAACAAACAAACAAAAAACAAACCTTTCTGGTGTGAGGAGCAAATGAAGAAATGCCAGAAAGAACATCTTACAAATTCCAGAGGTAGGCACTTGCTGTACCTGTTGTTGTTTTTTTTTTTTTTTAACTATTAGTCTCAAGACCATTTGAGAAGAAGCTGAAGCAGAACATGGTGAATTGTCCTTACTCCCTGATGAATCTGGTACTCTAACCCAATGCTAGCTTATCCGAGCATTTCAATCTTTGCACTTGAACAGCCAAAAAGAATATGAATAATCCTTAACAGAGATTATAATTATTTTCCTTTTCCTAAAATAGACCAGAAAACCTAAAGCAGTAGTTTGCAACTTTGGTTTCACATCAATATTACCTGGAAAGTTAGAAGTTCAAAGTCCCAGGCCACACCCCAGGACAATGAAACTGGGTAAGGTTTTTAAAGCTCCCTGGTGACTCCGTGTACTGCTGCTCTGCACAATGATCTAATGGTACTGCCCTCCTGCCTCATAGAAGAGTAGCTGTAAATGTCAAGATGGACCAGGCACACCTGACTCCGTGTCAGCAGGACAGCTCATGAAATAAATACTCACTAATCCAATTTCCTCCTGGGACTTTGCAAAAGGGGTCCAAGAATCATCTCACCACCACTGTTACCTTTATTCTAATCTTAGAAACCACTGCTCACATGCTCAGGGCGAGGTGACAGACCAGCACACAGTGTTCCCTGGCATAAAGTACGTAACATGCACAAGGTTAAAGAGAACAAGTGTGACTGTGATAGAAGAAATAAAGATGGTAGAAAGGAGATAAGGAATATCATAATTTATAAATTGTACATTTAGACTGCAAATGCAGGACACAATTGAGGTTACCTAAGGTTATCTCTATCTGCACTCCATAGGCTGGTTTATGCCTTTTTTCTTTCAGGACCATCACACTTAAACTCCCTTAAAGATACTGGAAGTCTATAAACTAGTTTAGTTGATAAGGTAAAGGGCAGAAACCTGAACTCAAGAGAAACCAAATCAAAGGTATGAAAGAATGTTTTCTGGCAAGGTATCTTCGATCATCTTCTTAAAGAAAAATATAATAGACTAGGCCCATAGCATTCTCCTGTACAACAACTCGTTATCTTTTATTTGTGGGTGAGCCATAACTTTTCTCTTGTAAACCAAGTCCCAAATTTCTAAAGTCACAAATTCCACAGTTTCTACCACCAAAAACACATAAATATTCCCAGCTGTAGACTATAATGGGTTGCTCTCTTGAGAGCCTGCACTCACTTTGAGTATGGACTTATAAAATTCTGCCTAATAAATCCCCATATGCCTCTTTATTTAATAAAAGCTTACCACTCCATCACACAGATAAAACAAGGAGAAAGGCATTCACAATCTTGGCTATGGTACGAGAAGGAAAATGGAAAGATGTGTGACTATAAGGGTAAACCAGTAAACTTTAACACAAAGGATCCCACTGCAACCCAGTTCCTGAGAAGTCTCCTGAGCATCTGTTGAGAGAATAATGGTAGAGCCCAGTACGGGTTGAGGAAGACCATACTCGTACTGAGAAGCAAAAAGAACCTCATAATCAGGGCTAGGATGAGCAATGCAGTAGAGATCCTCACTCAACGCGGTGAAATGCAGATGTGTGTGTGTCCCCAGGCAAGCCAGAACCACCCCATAGATCTGGAGACCCCCGAGTAATACGAAATGCTTGAAAATGTCACAGCTGAGCTGGGATGGAGTGGGCTGTTTTGCATCAGCAGTTGATGAATGCAGCAACTATGACCCCTTAAGGCAACCAGAGGCAACTCTAAGTCATTTGGGCCCAGCTGTTGGATTCATCCTGCAAAGATGTGAGATGGGGAAAGTGGCGAGGTTGGGAGAAAGACTTTGGAGATCAAGGGCAAATTTAAAAAGAGAAATAAAAAGATCCTAGTGCGAATTAAGGCCTAGACTTGGTCTAAGTTAACTAGAATAATCTTTTGAGGGGAGGAAGGAGAGCAGGACTTTAGCCTATATATTTTATTTAAAACTCTCTAGGTACAAATTCCATGTTGAATATTTTCTCTGCTATCCTCCTTGATCTGTGTCATTAAAAAAAACTCAGGAGCCGGGGATTTAGCTCAGTGGTTCTGCTGCCTGGCTTGCAAGCGCAAGGATCCAAGTTCGATCCTCAAAAAACCTCAAAAAGCATAATCCACACCCAAAACTCTTTTGTGGCTCTACAGTGGTACTAGACATTCATGTTGCACATGTTACCTCTTCTGACTAGTGTGGAGGAATGGGGTCATCATCCATCTATCATGCTCCACATAGAGTAGCAGGAGTGTTTTGGAGGCACCTGAGTGTTTTGAAGGGACCAGAGTCTATTTAGAAACAGCATTCCCCATTCTAAAATATGTGACTGAGGCTGGGGGTGCAGCGCAGTGGTACAGCTTTTGTGTAGCAAGTGTGAGGTCCTCAGTTCCAACCTTAGCACCACACACATGCACACACATACATACACATGATAGATAAAGTATTGATGACCGTCTTTGAAGGTGGCTTATGTATGAATTAGCCGTGATGTCCCATAGCCACACTGGTGGAATCTCCACATTTCAGCTACTTGTGGTGACACTGTAGAAGCACAGTCAAGCATGGGCCTTTCCATCCTCGGGTCAAAGGATGAGCTGCCACTTCTACACCTAGCCCAGCTCATCCATCTACAAAATGACAGGAGAGGCAGAAAGATCCCTTTCAGATATTTGTTTGAAACCAGTGTTTTCCCAAGGTGAGAACAGGAACGCAGGGTTCCCCCTGAGTGCTACCTGTACACACAGCATCACAAGACGCTGACTCACTTATGACTTCTTCAACTGTCATGGTCCCGAAAGTGCGCAGAATGAATGTCTCAGGTGAGTGCTGGGATGTGTCACCATCTACCTAGCACATGCTAACTTCCCTTCTTCACAGTGTGTGAAGATGCCTCCTCGCTCTCTGAGCCTTGGGAGGCAGCAGTATCTGCCAAGAGTTTTATCACACTGTTTTGTTTTCATGGTATAGGTTTTGCTGTTGTTACTACCTTCTACTTGTAGTATTTACTGCAGTGATCTTAAGTTTTGTTTTAAACTTTGAAGAAAGAATGGTGAGCAGGTAACTACTGGTATGAAGCAGACAGAGCCAAAGACTGCATGAAGGGGGTCGCTCGATCACTCTGGCCTTGCCGCACATCCTACCACCAGGTGAGGCGCCCAGGTGGGGAGGAGGTTGAGAGGACTTTCAGGAAGCCTCTGGCGCCAAGGTCAGTAATCAGGTGTAGCAACTGTGTTCATCAGCCAGGGAATGCCCACCTTGTAAATGTGGCCAAAGCCCAATGGAACGAATTTCAGTGGCCTTTGGTCTTTCAGGATGCAGAACCTTTCAAGGTCAGAAAGCACCCTCCAGTTCATCTCTCATTTTACCTAGGAGGAAACTGAGGTCCAGGAAAGAGAATTAGCAAGGGTTCAGCCAAATTCTACACATTCTATGCCCCCTTCTTTCCCAGTGCTGATCTGGGTTATGGTTCCATGGGTAAGAGAAAGAGGCAGCCAATTTTGGCCTAAATAACATCTACTCCTTCTCTCACAAAAGCAATATATGAAAGAAGA